CGCAGCCTTGACCCGCTGGGCTCCGGCGATGCTTCCACCTCAGCCTTCCGAGTAGCCGGAACTACAGGTGCGCGCGACCACGCCCGGCTGGTTTTTGATTGATTGTAGAGATGAGGTCTCAGCCAAGTTGCCCAGGCAGGTCGCGAACCCGCGGGCTCAGGCGATCCACTCACCTCAGCCTCAGCCTCCCAAAGGCGCGGGATGACGGGCTGAGCCACCCAGCCCGGCTTCAGTGGTTCTTAATGTATTCAGAGTCGTGCAGCCATCACCCCACCCAGTTCCAGAACATTCCCTTCACACTCAAACCCATCCCCCCCCGCAGTTCCCAGCACCCACAAATCCACGTCCTGTCTCTGTGGACTGGCCTTCCGTGTCTGGGTTTCACAGAGCGTGACATCCTCGAGGTCCATCCACCCTGCGGCCTGTGTCAGAACCTCCGTCCTTTCGTGGCTGAGTCCTGGCCCACATGTGTACGGGCCACACTGTGTCTAAGTGATTTTCCCTTTAGCCTCGTGTGAGTAACACTGCTGTGAACGTTCGTGGACAAGTTTTGGTACAAATGTTTTTCCAGTTCTCCTGAGCCTGGTCTGGGCGTGCTGGGCGACATGGAGACTGTGACCCCGTGAGGAGCCGACAGCTGTCCCCATAGCAACTGCTCCGCTGGACACTCCCAGCAGCCATGGGCGAGTGCCTGGTCTCTCCACATCTGTGCATCCGAATCCTCACAAGTGCCCCCACCAGGTCCCATCCCCAAAGGCCAGCCTGCCACCCTCAGAGCACCTCCCTCGGCGGCCAGAGCCCCAGGGAGCAGCTAGCCTCTGCGAGGGACTCCCGGCCCCATGGGGACACGGCCTCCACTCACCTTCAGTCTTCAGGCGCTCTGCCTCTGCCGAGTCCTCCTCGGAAGGCGGGGTTTGCACAGGGCTCCTCAGGTCCGGTGGCACCTCCTGGCCCGAGGCAAAGGTGACCTGCTGTCCTCTCCTCCCGCCAGGCACCCCCTCACCCCACCCTTCCTCAGGCCACCACAGAGAGCGCCAGGCTCCAAGGGCCGCGGCCCTGAGAGGGTGAGCACCACGTGGTGCCCCTGGGGGCGGGTACCCAGGCTCGGGGGCGCCAGGGAGGCCAGGGGCTCACCTTGCCCGCGGCGGCGGCCTCGAATATCTCCGGCAGCGTCTGAGGAAGCGCAAGGTCGTGGTCCTCCAATGTCACCCCGAAGGCGGTCTCTAGGCACTGGATGGCAACTGGGCAGAGGCCACCCACTCAGCATAGCCCCCAGCCGTCTTGGGCCTCGGGCGGTGGTCACCTCCCTTCCGACCGTGCTTGGCTACAAGAGCTCAGGACAGGTGGACACCATGCGCGCCCCTGGGGCTCCGAGTGTGAGCGCTCCTCGTCCCCAGAAGGACAAGACTGACGACACTCCTTGTGCTCTGGAGAGCAGGGGAGGCCGTGGGCGGAGACCTTGGGCCTCTCTGTGGGGCTTCCATGGTGGGGTGGCCTGGCAGAGGGGCGCGGGGTACTCGCCTGGCCTAGAGGAGCCCGGGGTGAGTGCCCTGGAGGCCATCAGACCTCCCAGGGAGCTGGGCCGAGTCTGGGGCCCAAAGTCAGCCCTAGCGAGAGTTAAGGCTCAAGGTCACCCAGGCCTAAGGCTAGTCCTGCATGATGAGGTTATGGCCGGGGCCGGGCCGTCACGGGGAGGATGGGACATGTCCAGAGAGCCTGGTCCCCGGCTCGCCCCTTGTGGACTCCGCAGTCCGGGGAGCCCTGGGGGGCCTCCCCGCTCCTCTGTCCACCTCGACTCCACCCAGCCCAGGCACGTCCCCACAGCTGTCCCTGAGCCGCAGGTGAGGCACGGGTGGGCACAGCAGGGCAGGACCCTGGCGGTGGTGCTGCTGAACCAAACGGGGTAGATGGCGGCCGCCACCCTGGATGATACGGCCAAGCCCAGGGCAGGACACGCCGAATGCCAGAGGTTCTGGGACTTGGGGGCAGGGATGCCCCACGACTGGCCACAAGCACACGCTGGGGGCTGGGACAACATTCTGGAACCACCCCTTGGCAGAAGGCAGCTCGGCCTCAAGAGAGACGGCAGGGGCAGCAACACAGGGGACCAGCAGCCGTGAGAGCTCAGCCTGGCGCCAGCCAGGCGCTGTGTGGCTCTGGGCAGGCGCCTGCCCCTCTCTGGACTCAGTGTCCCCTGCCGTGGCCCGCGGGGAGTGGGGGCGCCCGCGTACCTTCCAGGCTCTCCTGGGCGTCGGCCGAGAGCCCCCCGTTCCGGAGCTGGTCGTGCAGGAACTGGATGATGGCGAAGGCCAGGCGCTTCCTGTTGTCCATCTTGAGCCGGGAGGAGGCGGCGCCCAGGGTCTCAGGATCTGTGGGGCCACGTCGGGGGCCTGAGAACTGGGGCGTGAGTCCCCGCCCCCACCAGTCCCACCTTCCCCACCCCAGATCCCCCGACCGGTGCCCAGGCTCACAGGCCCCACCGAGCCCACGTGAGCCGCCTAAGACTGGCAGCTACTCTCCGTGTTATGCCCCTTTCTCAGGTGAGGACGCTGAGGTTCAGGAGTCCACATCTGCCTGTGTGCACGGTCACAAAGCGGCGAGGCCAGCGGAGGCCACCAGGTCCCCGAGGACCCGCTTCCTGCTCCCCGGGTGCTCTGCCTGGGGTCTCCACCTGTGTTCCCGGCACAGAGGGGGTGGAGGCCAGAGACGCTGCTCAGCACCCGGCAGCGCCCAGCATGCCCACCCAGGGAGGCATCAGCCAGCCTCTATGAGAACGGACGGGGCCAGCTGTACCTCTCCCACTGCTTCACAGGACCCACTCCAAGAGACCTTCGAGAATGGCCTCTTTCTTCCACACTCCCTGTTCCCAGAACCCAGCAGGTGCTGCGCTCGGCCCGTGGCCTCTGGGCCCCGCAGAGCTCCACAGGGTGCTGGATGGAGACCCAGAGCCTCTTCTGGAGTCGGGAGCTGCAGCCTCGGCCAGGCCTTGCTTCGGCACAGGCCTTCTGGGCTGGTGTCCCGGGTGCCTGGGCCGACACGGAGGACCCTGGCCACGGTGACCTTTGCGGTGCCAGCAGGAAGCCCAGCTGTGTGCCGTGCCGGCCGCCGGCGGGGCAGGTGCCATCGGAGGTGGAGACGGGGCCGCTGTTCGGTTGTCTCGCAGTGTCACCTCGCGCAAGCTGGGCTTCACTGAGCCCCAGCCTCCCCCGGAGGCTAGCGGGGACCACTGGGTGTTTTGATGCAACAGCCACGAGGGGCAGCAGCGCTGCCTGGAACAGCTGCCCGGAGCCTCCCGGGGGACCCGGCTTGGACCCTCCCACGGTCTTTACAGCTGTGAGCGAATCGAGAGGAGGTCCTCAGGGCGGCCTGATGTGGCGACGGGCATCCCTCTAAGAGGGACATTGGACACGCACGGGACGGTGCCAAGGACACTGGCAGCACCAGAAGCTGGAGAGGCGGGGGACCGCCCCTCACGCCCCTGCCCATCTCGGCCGTCCGGCCCCTAGAACGAGAGGCTCTAGCTGGCCGTTTTCAGCCACCAGACCGTGGTGGTCCACCGGCAGACCCAGCCCTTGGGCGAGGGGGGAGGCCAGGGCGGCCGCGGGTCCCCATCACGGCAGCGCGACGAGGCCCGTGAGCTCAGGAGCTGGTTTGGTCTCAGAGCGCCCGGGGCCCTGGCACAGGCTGCCAGCCTCCGTGTGGCCCACAGTCGCCACGCCCGTAGCACGGGGATAGCCATCGTGGCTGCCGTTGGGATGAATGCGCTCAGCCTGGTGCCCGGCAGACTGTCGCCCCGCAGTCCCTAGGGAAGCCACCTGGCATGGACCCGAGCCGGCCGCTTCTGCTGTGTGACCTCAGGGAAGCGCCTCGACTCTCCTGAGCCGCGGTTCCCTCCTGTCCCCTGAGGGAGGGGAAGGCTGTCCCAGCAGGGTGGGAGTGAGGGGCAGAAGACACTGTGCACGGGGGCTGACCCTGCAGTGTTGCAGGGCTGTGCCCACGGACCTGGGTGGGAGCCCGCTCGGGCTGTTCCAGAAACACCCCCCGCCACGAGGAGCGGGGCCTTATGTCCCCTTCGGTAGCAACTCCCTGGCCTCCTGCCTCCACCTGCTCCCTCCAGGCCGGCTGGGCAGCCCCTTTCTGGCCCTGCCCAGGGCCTCAAGTTTCCCCAGGGGGCCCTGACCCCCACCTGTTTCCATGCTGGGCTGGCACGCGGAGAGGGAAGGGCTTTCCGCGTGGGTGCCCCGCGCAGCCCACACACAGGGGTGATCTGTTTTGCTAGTGACCTGTGCCCTGGGCGCCCAGGCAGGTAAGGAAGGGGGAGACCGCAGGAGGACGCTGCTTGGGCTGCAGCTGAATTCTGGGGGAGATCAGAAGCACGCGTGGGTTGGACAGGGCCCGGCAAGGAGCTGCCAGCTTCGAGGTGGACGTGGAGGAACCATGGCCTGAGTGAATTTCATATCTTCTGCTTACGCCAGTGGCTTCACAATTACGTGTGACTCTTCTGCGCTTTGTGTATGGATCCAATTTTCAACAAAATGATGAACACCTCAAAGAAATTCTGGCCCAGACCCGGGAAGGTCACTGTCCTTTTGGGCCAGCGAGGACAGCAGCAGCACCGGCTCTGCCTGCACTCTACTCCCAGCTGTGCCCCAGTGGCCGCCTGTGCACACGCAGGCACACTTGAGGCCAGGAGTTCAAGATTAGCCTAGGCAACATAGCGAGACTCCATCTCTATTTAATTTTTTAAAAAAGAAATAAAAAGAGGGGGTAGAACTTGGACACGCGGAGAATGCCATGTAGACAAGAAGGTAGAGATGGGGGTGACGCTTCCACCAGAGAGGGACCACCGAGGGTCGCCAGCCCCCCAGAGCTAGGAGAGGCCTGGATAGGTCTCCCTCAGCCTTAGGACTCAGCCCTGCCCCGACCCTGGACTTCCAGCCTCCAGATCCGCCAACACACCTTTGTTGCACCCCGTCTGTGGGGCTTTATTAAGGGAGCTGCGGAAAACAGGACACACGCCCACGAGGCAGGATCGCGAGGAACCACCTCTGTACTCCTCACTCCCACAGGAGGGCTGGCCCCGTTTTCAGATGGTAGACTCGGGCAGAGGGGCCTGGTAATGTGCCTGGGGCGAGTGGCCCTGAGGACAACATGGCAGTGACAGACTGTGCATCACACACTGTGCGGGGATCCCAAGGCCAGCAGCCAGAGGGTGGCTCCTTCCACAAGAAAACAAGGCTTCGAGGCCAGGTACAGAGACGCACGCCTGTCATCCCAGCGATTCGGGAGGCCAAGGCGGGAGGATTGCTTGACAAAAGAATTTAAAGACCAGTCTGGGTAACATAGTGAGACCTCGTCTCTCTAAAAAAAAAAATCAGAAAATTAGCCAGGCGCAATGCCCGCAGTCCCAGCTACTTGGGAGGCTGAAGCAGGAGGATCACCTGAGCCCAGGAGGTCGAGGCTGCGGTGGCCATGAGCACACCACTGCACTCCAGCCTGGGTAACAGAGTGAGACCCCGACTTAAGGGGAAAAAAAAAAAGAAAACACGGCTTCAAGTCATCCCTATAGAAACATCCATTTGGCGTGTCTGGGTATCTGATGGCCCAAGAGACACAGGTCAGCACATGTGCGTGCACTTCGGACCACGGCCACTGTGTGCATGGGGTCTTGGGCAGAGCACCAGGAGTGCTGAGGACATGCGATGGCCCCGTCTGTGGCTTCTTGCCTCCCGCAGGCCCCGAACACAAACCGAGTCCACACCTGCACACACGGCCCAGAGAACTCCCGACAACAAACAGCCCCCGTGCCGCCTTCATGTCCTCCCAGACTCTAAGGGCCCCCGGGGCGTCTGTCTGCCCGCTGCCTCCTGCGCAGAATTGTGTGTGCATCTCTCTCGGATCTGATCCCTCCTTGAAGAGACTGTGTCCCCAGGGGGCACTTGGCAATGTCCAGAAAATGTTCCTGGCGTGGAGGGGATGGGGGCTAGGGATGCAAATCAGCACCCCACAGTGCCGCGAAGCCCCCGGCCCCCATCAAGGGAATGAACGACCCGGCGAACAGCCTCAGGGCCCAGCGAGGACCTGCTGATGTCAGGCACCAGGCGCCACAGCCTCAGCCGCTCTGCCTGAAGACGACCAGGTACACACGGTCGCTCCTTTAGAGGACACAGGCTTGGGACTGGCAGTGCCAGGCAGGGCTGGGACCCACAGCCCGCAGCTGCCCCACCTGCCCCTACACTCACAGGCTTGGAGTCTCAGGCTCCCTGAAATGCCTCCAGAGGGGGTGAAGAGCCAGTGCCCCTAGGGATGAGGCACGGCCCCCTCACCAAGTCACATCAACCGTCACTCACCAGGGACGAGCAAGCCACTGGCTCATGTCAGACCCCAGTTATGCCAGCGACATGGCGCCTCAGAGTCACTGTTCCGCGTGGCTAGGACACGCTGGGTGCGCCCACTGCTCTTTGTTTCCGTTTCAGGGAAAACAACATCCATTGACAATTGTCTTAAAAAGGGACCGAGAGAAGCCAGATGTAAACCCACACAGCGCAACTCCATTTCTACGAAATAGCCAGCAGAGGCAGGTCCTCAGACAGAAGACATGGTCTTGCAGGTGCCAGGGCTGGGGGGACAGAGGTTTCGTTTGGGAAGAGGAGAAAGAAGGTTCTGGAGACGGTGACGGCTGTACAACCACATAAGCTGTGCACTTAGAGATAGTTAACGGGAGACTTTTTTTTTTTTGAGTTGGAGTCTCACTCTGTCGCCCAGGCTGGAGTGCCGTGGCATGCTCATGGCCACCACAGCCTCGACCTGCTGGACTCCGGCGATCCTTCTGCCTCAGCCTTCCAAGTAGCAGGAACTACAGGCACACGCTACCATGCCCAGCTAATTTTTGATTTATTGTAGAGATGAGGTCTCGCCAAGTTGCCCGGGTTGTCTCAACCCCGTGGGCTCAGGCAAGCCTCTCCTCTCACCTCGACCTCCCAAAGTGCTGGGATTACAGTCCTGAGCCACTGCGCCTGGCCGAAGGGTAACTTTTATGTACAGTTTTTTGAAGCCACAATTAGGAAAAAAAATGCTTCTTTTTAGAGTCTGGGGCCCAAATGAGAGCCTCTGCGCCCCATTTTAAATAGGGTGGAGGATTGCGTGCAGCCCAGAGTCCGTGAGCCAAGAGCAATCTCTGCATTTCTTGTGCAGTCATGTGCTACGTGGGTCCCCAACAGACCGGATCAGGACGGCTCCCCATGCCACGCCTGGCTGAGCGACTGCAGACACGGAACGGGGCGACAGCAAGCAGCTGAAACCGGACCCGGCCGGGTCCCCCCACAGACCTAGGGGTGGGGTCACACCCATCTCAGAGGGTGTCAGGTCCACAAGGTGGCGCAGGCAAGGTCAGGGACAGGCAGCAGGGACCTGGCTTGATGCTGAGTGCTGCGGTATCCCTGAGGACCACTCCTCTGCTGGTCAGCAAGATGCGCCCGGGAGGCATGCACCTGTGTGGACGTGTGAGGACGTGTGTGTGTCGGGCACCTGCTTTCCCTCCCAGGGAACTCACACAGAATAAACAAATCTGATCCTTGGCTCTCTGGTGCCTGTCTCCCTTCCTCTTAGACTGAGCTGTGAAAACCAGAAAGGGTGGTCAGGCCCTTCTGAGGGTCCAGAAGTGACACAGGAAGTCAGACTTGGGTCTCCCGATGGCCCTGCCCCGTGCACCGCAGGGCCTTTGCACACATGGCTCCTGCTCCGGGAACGCCCCCACGGGGAACTTCTCAGTCTCGGGGTCTCAGCCCGCCCCTTTCCTCCTTGCTCCCCTGCTGAGACGGGTCCAGCAAGCACGAGGACACGCTGACTGCTCCTGGGCAGCCAGGCTCTTCTGGGCAATCCCAGCTTGTGGCGTCTAGCTGAGGGACAACATTCTCAGAGAAGGCCCGTGGTTTCCCCAACAGCGAGGGTTTTATGTGCACCCAGAACCCATGGGCCATGCCTGGTGAAAGGCTGAGGACCCAGAGGCGAGGCTGGGAGGACACTGGCCTCCTCTTTAGGGGGCTTCAGCTGAGCTCATGACTCCACACCCTACCTTCTCATCTTACCATTAAAATAACAACAAAACCAAAACACAACAGTGTGTATACCCTTCTCATGTCCCTGCCCAGAACCCATCATTCAAGGGAAAGAATGGGGCCGGCACTTTGGGAGGCTGAGACGCGAGGATTGCTTGAGGCCAGGAGTTTGAGACCAGCCTAGGCAGCACAGCGAGACCTCTCTACAAAAAAAAAAATGAGCCAGGCGTGGTGGCGCACCTGCAGTCCCCTGTAGTCCCAGCTACTTGGAGGCTGAGGCGGAAGGATCGCTTGAGGCCAGGAGTTGGAGGCTGCAGTGAGCTATGATTGCGCCACTGCCCTCCGGCTGGGGTGACAGAGTGAGACCCTGTATCCAAAACAAACAAACAAAACAATCAGAGCCACAAGACCAAGTTCCTCTGGGAGGTCATTTCTCTGGGTCTCGGTTTCCTCGGTTGGCAAGACAAAACAAACTCGTCTTGCCAACGACCACCCACCCTCATTCCTCAGCCTCTACTGGCACTTCCTGTTGAGCCAGGGTAGGGTCCGGGCAAGAACCCTGCAGAACCGAGGGAGGCTCCGGCACTTTCCCACCTGAGGCAGGGCTCGGCCCATCTGGAGTCACATGCTCTTCGAGGAAGATTTAGCTATAAACTGCGGTTCAAATCCTTGGCGCACGGGACTTCCAAGTGCCAGAGTGCCAGGTGGACGACGGCTTGTTTATTCCGGGGCCAGCAAGGGCTTCCTGGAGAGGCTGGAGAAAATCCCGCCAGCCTCGCAGGCTGTGTGCTCTCGGAGACGACTCCCCAGTGCCAGCATTTCAGCCCAAGATCAGCTGGATAAGCACAGGGGCACAGCTGTGGTCCCCAGAACCTCGTCCCAGGGAGTAGGCAGCAGCTGAATGTGGCCTCGGGTCACAAGGGTATAATACCCCGGGTCGTTTAATCCACACACACTTGGGGCGGTTATCACCATCACCCCCACTCTACACGGGGAGAAACCGAGGCTCAGAAGAATGGGGCCCCCCACAATGACGGGTGATCCTCCCTCCTGAGCCTCTGGAGCAGCTGTGACTACAGGGGCATGCCGCCACGCACGGCTCAAGTTGCCCAGGCTGGTCTTGAACTCCTGGGCTTGCCAAGCAATCCTCCCGCCTCGGCCTCCCAAAGTGCTGGGATGACAGGCATGAGCCACCATGTCCAGTCTAAGGACGGGTTCTTAAAAGCAGCATAATGGGCATTTGGGGCGGGGTTGTTCTGTGGGGTGGACCATCCTGGATCCTGCAGGGTGTAAGCAGCATCCCTGGTCTCCAACCCCTCCAAGCCAGGTGCACCCTCAAGTTATGTCCCTAGACATCGCCCAGAGTTCCCGGAAGAACAGAACTGTCCCTGGTTGAGAACCACTAATCAAGGGAGAGAAAGACACAAAACAAACAGGGTCAAAAACAAAAGGAAAAGGGAAACTGTCCGGTCTATGGGACGCACACTGCACGGCGGCTTCTGGCACCTTCTGGCACCTCACAGTGCAAACAGCCAGCCCCACGAACGCTCCAGGCCCCATTTAACCTCATAACGACCCTCGGAGGTAGATACGCTTACTACTACTATTTTTTTTTTTTTTTTGAGTCGGGGTCTCACTCCGTTGCCCAGGCTGGAGCACAGTGGCACGCTCATGGCTCATCACAGCCTCCACCTCCTGAGCGATCCTCCTGCCTCAGCCTCCGAGTAGCTGGGACGACAGGCGAATGCCACCCTGCCCAGCTAGTTTTTGCATTTTTTGTAGAGACAGGGCTCTCACTAGGTGGCCCAGGCTGGTCTTGAACTCCTGGGCTCAAGTGATCCTCCCGCCTCGGCCTCCCAAAGCGCTGGCACGGCAGGTGTGCGCCACTGTGCCAAGCCCTGCCGCTCCTGTTTTAGAAGAAGGAAGGGGCTGCTCAGAGAACCAGGTTCACAGGGCGAGAGGTGACGGGCTGGTCCTCAAGTCCAGATCTCCCCACGTCTAGCAGCACATGAAAACGAGTCTGAAAGCGGAAGAGAGGCCGGGTGCGGAGGCTCGCTCCTGGCATCTCAGCGCTTTGGGAGGCCGGAGGGGGGGGCGGGGGGGTATCGCTGGCGGCCAGGAGCTCAAGGCCAGCCTGGGCAATACAGCGAGACCCCATCTCTCCAAAAAAAGTAAAAGGATTGAGCCACACGTCGCAAGGGAGGCCGAGGCAGGAGGATCGTCTTGCGCCGGGCGCCGAGGCGCTCTGATCCTCCCAGCAGGGGCTCGGCCAACGCCCGTTTCGCAGAGGGTAAGACTGAGGCTCCGAGAAGCCAAGAGGCTGGCGAGGGCCACCCAGAGAGCGAGGGGCGGCGCCGAGACGCCTCGGGTCCCCCCAAACGGGGGCCCCCGCGTCAAAGGGACCCCGATCGCAGGCGGTGGAGAAGAACGAGGGTGGCGCTCGCCGCTTCCACTTCCCGCCGTCCCCGACACTCGCCGGCCGACCCGCACGGCCAGGGCCCGCGGCCGGGCCCGAGCCGACGAGGACCCCGGAAGGCCCGCCCGACGACGCCCGGCCTCAGTTTCCCCTACGCGCCGCCCACTCAAGAGACCCCGCGAGTCGCGGCGACCCCGGCCGCAGACCCACCTCCTCTTACGGACTCCGGAGGCCCAAGAACCCAGAGCCGCAGACCCCCAGACCCGCCTGGCTCACCGCCGAGCCCCCCACTCACCTCTCGCAGGCCACCGAGCCCCGTCCCACCGACGGCTGCGCCTGCGCACCGCGGCGCCGCCCGGCCCCGCCCCCCGTGCTCGACGCCTGCGCAGGAGGAGTCGGCTCCGGGCCGCTTCGCTTTTGCGCAGGCGCGTTCGGGAGCGAGGCTGGCGAGAAGGGAAGTGACGCAACGTAGGGGCGTGAACCAGCTGGTCGTTAGGGCAACGGACCTCGGCGACACAACGGAGGCCGGAAGCCGGGGCTGACTTGCCCTCCGGAGCGGGAATGCAGCGGTGCGTGGTGGGACGGTGGCGGACTCCGGCGTCCGGGCGAGCCGGACACGTGGTGTGTAGCTCGGCCACGTGGTGCAGCTGCGTCTGGGCACCTGGGTCTCCGAGCGTCACCAGCGGGCTATGAATGCGGGCCACTGATAACCACTCACGGTCTTTGTTCATTTATTCGTCCATCCACTCACCCACCCACTCTCCCACAAACGAATTCTTTTCATTTGGTCTGTTTGTGAGTCCCAAAGGAATTGTAATGATATTTGTAGACAGGAGGTGCCTAATATTAATTCAACAAGTACTTATTTATTTATTTTTTAGAAAGCAGGATTTATTGAGAGGACAGAAAAGCTCCCACAGTGGGAGGGGACCCGAGGGGACTGCCCAAATATTTACTGCAAACCAATCAGTGACCGCCAAAGTGTCTGCTCTCGTTATCTTGAATTGAGGGCAGATGGAGTTATCAACTCGTAAACTAGCGCATAAATAAGGAAACAAGCAATTTCACGTAATGGCAAGTACTACGAAGAAAAAATAAGGTGATGTGATTGTGATTGGGAGTTAGTTGCCTGGGAAGACCTCTCCTTAGATGTGCGTTTGAAAGATGGCAGAAGCCAAAGGAAAGGTACCCCGGGTTCACGGAACGGCGAAAATGAAGACTAGTGTGTTCAAGAAATCGTTTTTTAAAAGAAAAGAAAAAAAGAGAAAGAAATCGAGTGATATATTCCCTAGGACGACAGAGAACGGGCCACTTTACAGAATTAAAGTCGCCAGAATAGTTCTCCCAAATCATTTTCATCCTACTTAAAACACAAGCAATTAATGCGCGGGATTATCTTAATTTATTGTGCAGAAATAAAGCAGATGGGTTTTTATTTTTGCCAACTTAATTCTAGTAAAAAAATTCTGGGTGCCTTAGACCGTTCAAATTTTTTTTTTTAACCGACAATACTGGATGTGAGTCATTGTAGGTCACCGCACTGTTCCCAAACACCTGTTATTTTAAGTCAAGTATCCGTTAACTGACTTTTTTTTTTTTTTTTTTTTTGAGTTGGAGTCTCACTCTGTCCCCCAGACTGGAGGGCAGTGGCCGCTCCCGGCCACCGCAGCCTCGACCTGCTGGGCTCCGGCGATCCTTCCGCCTCAGCCTTCCGAGGAGCCGGAACGACAGGTGCACGCTACCGCGCCTGGCTAATTTTTTATTTATCGTAGAGACGAGGTATCACCAAGTTGCCCGGGTGGGTCTTGAACCCGTGAGTCCAGGCAATCCACTCGCCTCGGCCTCCCAAAGTGCTGGGATGACGTTGAGCCACCGAGCCCGACCAACTAACGGACTCTTTCTTTTTTTTAGGGTTTAGTTCCAGCTGATTTTATTTCCTTCTCAAAAAAAGTTATTTACAGAAGGTATATATCAACAATCTGACAGGCAGTGAACTTGACATCATTAGCTGGCATGACCCCCCCCATTGTTTCTGTGGCCTTGAATTTTAAGACAAATATTCTACACGGCATATACCATAGGATGGATGGCAAAAAAAAAAAAAAAGTTTAAAAACGAAAACCCTTAACAGAACTGCCTTAAAAAGGCAGATGTCCTAGTGCCTGTCACGTTATATTAAACAGACATACGCACAATCTTTTTGCTTATTATCATACAGACTTAAATGTACAAAGATGGTTCTCACTTTTCTCAATCTTTAAACACAGCAGCTATAAACCTGAACACATACGCTATCACCATGCCATGAGACTGAAACAATTACATTCAGCGACAAGTAGAAAGGATTAAATAGTCAAATACAAGCATAAAAAACACAGCACATAGTGTCGCGAACTCAAATCGGCATTTAGATAGATTCAGGGGCTTAAACGGCACGTTTTTGCTTATTAAAAAAAAAGTGCCAAAAAGATGTGGTTTACAAGTTAAAGCTACAGGATTCCTTTTTGTTGTTAGTGCCCCCGTTTCAAAGCCTCGGGACAGTGCAGTATTTCGTTTATCTGGCTCTTTATCAAACTTACTTGATTACGCCTCTGGGTGTTTTTCTGTATTTTGTTTCGACTGTGGGTCATTTAAGCGATTCACCAGATTCAGGGGCTGAAATCTGGGCAGGATGCTGGGCGGAAAATAACCTGCAACATGCGCCTGGCTTACAGCAAGCGATCGATAACGGGAGGCCCTTAGGTGGGGGAGAAAACGCGGAAAATCAGCCCCGTGCACAATTAAACGAAAAGTACTCCCTAACACGCAAGCCCGCGCTTCGGGCGGAAAAGTCCCCGCAGGAGCCGCACAGGTTTGGAGGCGTGAGCGGTGCAGGGTTTCTATGGAAACGGCCCTTCCCGGCCACCCCGGCGGCAGGTGGCGGGGATGGAGCCCGA